TCTAGGATTCTATGATTCTATGAAATACACTTGCAGATAAGCAACCTGTCCTTTCTTACACAGTCGTAAAGTGAGAAGAGCTCAGTTTGTAACTTTAAGGGTGGTCCATGCCTTAGTCACCTCCAGATTGGACTACTGTAATGCACTCTACGTGGGGCTGCCCTTGAATACAGCCCGGAAATTTCAGTTGGTTCAACAGGCAGCGGCCAGGCTATTAACTGGTGCTCCTTACAGAGAGAGGTCAACCCTCCTGTTCAAGGAGCTCCATTGGCTGCGGTTCATTTTCCGGGCTCAATTCAAGGTGCAGGTGCTTACCTACAAAGCCCTAGACGGTTTGGGACCTATCTACCTGCATGACCACATTTCTGTATACGAACCCACACAATCCCTTCGTTCATCTGGAGAGGCCCTGCTCATGATCCCACCAGCATCGCAAGCACAATTGGTGGGGACAAGGGACAGGGCCTTCTCGGTGGTGGCCCCCCGACTCTGGAACTCCCTCCCCAAGGACATCAGGCACTCCCCAACACTGGCAGTCTTCAGAAGGAGCTTGAAAACATGGATGTTCCAGTGTGCCTTCCCAGATTAAGGAATCCCAAGCAATTGTCCCTAATGCACTTTATGAGAAAGTTAGAATTGTCTGCACACCCTTCTATTCCCAAAATATTCAGTCTACCTCACCTGGACATGCCCAGCATTTTTAGAATTTTAACTACTACATTTGGCCCTGCCACAGGTTTTTAACAGTGTCGTGCTTTTGTTATTGTTTTATTGCTTATTGTGTGACCGCATCTCCGTCTATGACCCCGCACGCTCTCTTCGTTCATCCGGAGAGACCCTGCTCACGATCCCACCTGCGTCGCAAGCGCGGCTGGTGGGGACGAGGGACAGGGCCTTCTCTGTGGTAGCCCCCCGACTCTGGAATTCCCTCCCCAAAGCCATCAGACAAGCCCCTACATTGGCAGTCTTGAAGACCTGGCTATTCCGGTGTGCCTTTCCAGAATCGGAAACCCCAGCAACACGTCCCAAAAGCACTTTATTAGAGATTGTCCACACATTGCACTTATCCAAAATCCTTATATCACTCAGCACCTTTTAATCTGTACCCAGTACATTTGCCCAGCCTAGTTTTATTGTGTCACGGTGTGCTGTTTTTACTGTTTACTGTTATTGCTTTAATGTTTTTGATTTGCTTTTGGTTTATATGTAATTGTTATTTTGTTGTTTTATTGTGGCCTTGGCCTTTGTAAGCCGCATCGAGTCCTTCGGGAGATGCTAGCGAGGTACAAATAAAGATAATAATAATAATAATAATAATAATAATAATAATAATAATATTTATTGTTGCATTGTATTGTTGTCTGTGTGTTTTTGTTAATGATGTACTTTGGGCTCGGCCTCTTGTAAGCCGCACCGAGTCCTGCGGGAGATGGTAGCGGGGTACAAATAAATGTTGTTTATTATTATTATTATTATTATTATTATTATTATTAAGAAGGTTTTCCAAACATTTAGCTGCAACCTGCTTCTATTCCTTTTGCACCCAATTTAATATTGGAGAGTGATAATTTAGGCTGCCGTCGAATGCTGGCAAATCCACCATCTCCGATGATTCCTTGCTTGAGAAAAGCTTGTGAAATTCAAGGGGTCTGCATAAGTCAACAAAAGGTGCACCCACAAACATGTGGTTGAAAGCAGTTGATTGGTGGGAGATGAGATCACTTCTCTAGCATTTCCAGCCAATGACTGGCTGAGCTGGTTTTTGGCTTATTGAAGTCCTTACAAAGCAATGTCTGGCTCCATCTAGAGTCAAGACGAAGAACGGACTGCAGGTGGTTTCGGAAGTGCTTCAAAAACAAAGGATACATTTGTGGACGTCATAGCTAAAGATGAGAAGTCTACATAGGGACCACCAAACGCAGTGTTGCCCAAACACGAATCAAGGAACATGAAAGGCACTGCAGACTACTTCAACCAGAGAAATCAGCCATAGCAGAGCACCTGATGAACTAACCTGGACACAGCATATTATTTGGAAGGATTTCCTGGGAAGGAATCCCACTGGAGCATTGCAGCGCACCCAAATACCTGGGAGTCACTCTGGACCATGCTCTTACCTACAAGAAGCACTGCCTGAACATCAAGCAAAAAGTGGGTGCTAGAAACAATATCATACGAAAGCTGACTGGCACAAGCTGGGGATCACAACCAGATACAGTGAAGACATCTGCCCTTGCGCTATGCTACTCTGCTGCTGAGTATGCATGCCCAGTGTGGAACACATCTCACCACACTAAAACAGTGGATGTGGCTCTTAATGAGACATGCCGCATTATCACAGGGTGTCTGCGCCCTACACCACTGGAGAAATTACACTGCTTAGCCGGTATTGCACCACTTGGCATCTGCCGGGAAGTAGCAGCCAATAGTGAAAGGACCAAGGCAGAGACATCTCCAGCTCATCCCCTGTTTGGGTATCAGCCAGCACCAACGACTTAAATCTAGACATAGTTTTCTAAGATCTACAGAGACACTCGCTGGAACACCTCAGCAAGCGAGAGTCCAAAAGTGGCAGGCTCAAACCCAGCACCTCAACCAATGGCTGATGCCAAATGAGAGACTCCCTCCTGGGCACACAGAAGACTGGGCGACTTGGAAGGCACTGAACAGACTGCGCACCACGAGATGCAGAGCCAACCTTCAGAAATGGGGCTACAAAGTAGAATCCTCGACATGCGAGTGTGGAGAAAAACAAACCACTGACCACCTGCTGCAATGCAACCTGAAACCAGCCACATGCACAATGGAGGACCTTCTTGCAGCAACACCGGAAGCACTCCAAGTGGCCAGATACTGGTCAAAGGACATTTAACCAGCTACCAAACCCACAAGTTGTGTATTTTTCTGTTTGTTTGCTTTGTTCTGTTAGACTGGTTGTTCTGACACGACAAATAAATAAATAAAATATAAATAAGCATATTATTTGAGAACGCAGAAATGCTGGACCACTCTCACAACCACCATGTCAGACTACACAGAGAAGCCATTGAAATACACAAGCATGTGGACAATTTCAACAGAAAAGAGGAAACCATGAAAATGAACAAAATCTGGCTACCAGTATTAAAAAACTCTAAAATTACAACAGCAAAACAACAGAAGGGAAACAATCAGGGAAATCTAATCACCTCTCAACAAAAGTTTGCTCCAGGCACAGTCAGCCCATTGTATGCTAATCAAGGTGGTCAGTTGAAACATTCACACCTAGCTCCAACAGACGAGAGTCCTTTGTCCCACCCTGGTCATTCCACAGATATATAAATCCATTTTTCCTAGTTCCAACAGACCTCTCTACCTCTGAGGATGCTTGCCACAGATGCAGCGAAACGTCAGGAGAGAATGCCTCTAGAACATGGCCATATAGCCCGAAAAAACCTACAACAACCCAGTGATTCTGGCCATGAAAGCCTTCGACAATCAGATGGTTTTCTCTGTAATAGGCAGTAAGAGTGCCTAAAGTTTCTGAGAGCTTCAGTTCAACCATGTCAAAGGCCCTTGCTTGAGTGGTGATGGCATGATCGTCAGCACAGATGATAATAATAATAATAATAATAATAATAATAATAATAATAATAATATCATCTTTGTACCCTGCCACCATCTCTCCAAAGAGACTCGGGGCGGCTCACAGAAGCACTCCAATTGCCACACACAGACAGCAATACATAAACACAACCACAATGACACATGTGCAATCAACAGTGCATACTCTCCCTTCTGGCAGTGGCTGATTATTTGTGTAAATCAGGGGTCCTCAAACTTTTTAACCCGGGGGCCAGTTCACTGTCCCTCAGACCGATGGAGGGCCGGACTATAGTTTTTTTAAAAAAACATCAATAAAAAAATCCCTATGCACACTGCACATATCTTATTTTGCGGTGTGGAAGGGCCCTTAGAGGGGGTCCTTTCTCGCCCTCTTTAGGCAGTAATTCCAGGAGCAGAGAATGGGAAATCTCCCTGTTTCTAGTCTGAACAAAATCTGGCTACCAGTATTTAAAAAACTCTAAAATTATAACTGTAAATAAAGAACAACACTCAAACACAGGGGAACTCCAGACAAGAAACAATCAGGGCCAGCTAATCACCTCTCAACAAAGGATTCTCCCTAAAAACTGTCAGGCTATGAAATGGCAATCAAGGTGGCCAATTGAAACATTCATACCTACCTCCAACAGGCAAGAGTTCTTTCTCCTACCCAATTTTCCTGGTTAAAGGTTTTCCTCTAAAATGAAGTCCAGTCGTGTCTGACTCTGGGGTGTGGTGCTCATCTGCATTTCTAAGTCGAAGAGCCGGCGTTGTCCGTAGACACCTTCAAGGTCATGTGGCCGGCATGACTGCATGGAGTGCCGGGGCAGCCTCCCTTGGCTGGTTCATGCTGTCCATCGGGCCTGAAGGATAGCGTGAGCCTGCCAAGGGAGGAGCAGCCCCGTGCGGCCTACTTGCGAGTAAAGCTCCCCGCGAGGAGCTTTACTCACGAGTAGGCCATGCGGAGCAGCTGCCCTTGGCTGGCTCACGCTGTCCATCGGGCCTGATGGATAGCGTGAGCCAGCCAACGGAAGGGCACCGTGTGGGAGGGGTGTCGCTCCTCCTCCGCGGGCCGGATCAGGGCCCTTGGCGGGCCAGAAGTGGCCCGCGGGCCGTAGTTTGGGGACCCCTGGTGTAAATATTAAACATGGATGGAGCAAGCATGCTCCCCTGAGGCAGGCCGTTCTTCTGTTTTTTCCCCCATAATTCGATGCAAAATAAGTTTCTCTAGAACTTTGTAGAGATGGCACAACTTGGATAATTGAGATGTGTAGAATATCAAAGCTGCTGCATCCCAGAGAGCTGTACAAGTGGACCGTATCACCTGTTCTGTTAATTCCAGTGGAAACCCTCCTTTTCAGTGCACTCTAGATGTGAATTGATATGGTGTCTTTTTGTATGTCTTCATTTCTTAGATGTCCCCCAGGGATCCCCCCAGACGGTACGAAGAGACATTGGTTTGGCTGTAACACACAGGTAAATACTTTAATTTATTTATTTCAAATATTTGTACACCACCCTTCTCTACCCCCGATAATAACCAGGAAAAGGGCAGTTTTCCTGGGATCCTGGGCAGCCCAACGCAAGAGGTTGAACAATCTTGGGGCATTGCAGTTTGGTTGCTCCAGAAAAGATATAGTTTTTGCTTGTACGTGGATTATAACAATGCCAAGGGGGCACTCAGAGAAGAGTGGGTGGAAGGGAGGTGAGCTGTTGAGACTCAGCATTTTGTGGGTCGCGACATGAGCAGCCCAGTTAGTTACTTGCCCTTTATACTATTTACAGCAGGGATCTTCAAACTTTTTAAACAGGGACAAGTTGCAGTCCTTCAAACTGTTGGAGGGCCGGATTATAATTTGAAAATAACATGAATGAATTCCTATGCACGCTGCACATATCTTATTTGTATTTATTATTTATTATTTATTTACTTTACTTCTATACCGCTGTTCTCAGCCCAGAGGCGACTCACAGCGGTTCACAACACACAAGAAACAGCAAAATTCAATGCACCAATATAAAAATCAGTTAACAACCTAATCTAATACACAATTAGTACACAATTACTATAATAACCATTCACTAGCGTCTCATCACTAAAAAACATGATCCAGATTCGTCATCCATTGTTCCATTCCTATGTCATTACCATTCATTGCACTAATTATTCGAACGCCTGCACAAATAACCAGGTCTTTACTTTTTTGCGGAATACCATTAGAGATGGTGCTAATCTAATGTCTGTGGGAAGGGCGTTCCACAGCCGGGGAGCCACCACCGAGAAGGCCCTATCTCTCATCCCCGCCAGCCGTGCTTGTGAAGCTGGCGGGATCGAGAGCAGGCCCCCCCCCGGAAGATCTCAAAGTCCTGGTGGGTTCATAGGCAGAGATGCGGTCGGATAGGTAGCTTGGGCCGG